TTGAAGTATATGATCAATTAGTACTATATATTTAGAATTTTTTTTTTTGAAAAATGCACTTTCTTCTAATCAACTTGTCCAATTTCTGATCCGTAGTGTATGGACAGTGCAATGAAAAAATGATATGTATAGCCGCTATCAAAATAATAGCCGGAAATAAAATATATTTTATATATATATATATACCTTCTGTATGTTATATACAAATTTTATACACTTTTTCGGCTATCGAATCTTAATAGTTTCTTACGCGGGCTAAAATTGATAATATTCTAGCCCCAAAGAAGAGTGGTTGAATTTAATTATCTTTAACAGAAAATATTTGCTCCTCGTGCCTGTGTTTGTTTTTATTTTAATTTTTAATGGTCGTAAATGCTTAGGTTAACTAGGAACATTAAAGTGTTTTCTTTTAAGCATAACTAGTATTAACATCCGCGCGATGCGCGGACACAATTCATAACAAAATGTGATGTATGTTGTTTGAATCGTGTGCAGATAACCTTAAACTAAACCTCCCAGTAATAATTATACAATCATTATATTAATTAAGAAGCAGGATATGAAATTATTGTTAAAATATCGCAATCGACAACCTATTTTTTCTATATCTATAGCAACCTAACCCCTTGATCAAGTATTTGTATTTCGCTTCGCTATCACTATTAAAGAAAACAAACATGTCATGTTGTGATCTGTCTTGTTTGAGCACATTAGAACATATTATTNATATATATTAATTTAAGTTTGGTGGACGACTAGTTAGGTTAGTTCTTCTATTATTCTTCATTCTTTTGACCTTTAGGAAATGGGAAACTTACACAAATGTCCCAAATAAGTCTCAACTTACCAACTTCTAGCCATTAGTCATAGACTTATCAAAACTAGCCAAGCACATATAAAAATAGAAAAACCAAATAAATAAGGTTCTTTCTCTCAAAGAATCACATGCAAAAATCTCCTTCCATATTTTTAAGCGTGATTAGCAACATTAGATGCAAGACAGAAAGAAAATTTCATGGATGAGGTAGAAAATAAGGTGATAAAATATTTAAAAAAAATATAATATTCCAAAAATCTAAGCAAAAAAGAAACCTTTTCAATGGGTATAGTTGAAATTCATTGAAAACATATAGATAAGTACAATATACAAACTTGGAGGAAGATTGGAGGTGATTTGGACTGGTTTGTATCAAAATTCGTAATTAAATCGAGTTCAAAAAATTCCTCTGCGACGCATGTATCAAACATGTATCATGCATGTATCTCACACACAGGTATACATGTGATACACAACTGACACAAATAATGATACATATGTGATACACAATTGATACACAGTATGATACACATATCATTTTTTTCATGTTCAGTTTTTACTTCGAATTTTCAATTCAAACCACCTCAAAACTTCACTAAATCATCCCAAATCTGAGATTCAAGCTCCTTAAGATGTACCCAATCTATTCTAATAACACACTCTCAAAAGAAAGCAAAAATTTGACCTTTTTTTGCTACAAATAGCTAATTGGCTAACATTAGTAATATTTTATGAATTGGCCAATTTTTGTAATGAGCTACTTATAAATGGACATAGCTGATAATTTCCCTTAGAAAATCATATTTTGTTGAAGCCCAGTTATAAAAGGCTATCTGTCACCATTGGGCCATGTACAGTCAATTTGAAGCCCATCATTACAATGGGCCAAACAATTTCTTTCTGAAGCCCAAATGTGTTGCCCAAATTTGACTTTAAAATATTAAAGCTATTTTTAGAATATAAGTTTTCAAACAAATTATGACAAAACCACAAAAGTAAGTTGCATGAGGAGTTCACTACGTGAGGGTTTGCATTTTCAAGAACTACGTACGGTCGGACCTCTCTATAACAGCATCCCTATATAACAACTCTTTACTATAAAAGCCAAGCTTTTTCGGAACTAATTTTTATGTTATATTATAATATATGTTCTCTATAACAGTACTTCGCTATAACATATTCGGAACAAACGAGGCTGCTATGGAGAGGATTGACTGTATATATGCAGACATAGATAATATATATCACAACATGGTATGGATTTGCTAGTTTCTTAGACATATAAGGTAACTATTTTTTTTTCCTTTAATCATCTTAAGTTTGATGTTACACTATAATTTGGTTTCGTGGTGATCAATAAAAAAATTTATTTTCACCCAAAAAAAAAAGAAACATCAAGTTTCATTTTGATCCGGATTTGTTTGAAATTGAGGTATAGTTGTTATTGTTATTGTTGTTGTGGTGGTTGTCGTTGTTGTGTATCATCTTCAATTCTCCACAATCTTATTTCAAAGAATCAGTATTAGCTATGTCATTCTCTATAAAAGAAGCGTAAGATATAATTAATGTGTAGCATATACAGTCAGACCTCTTTATAACAGCATCCTTATATAACAGTCATTCACTATAAAAGCTATTTGTTATAATATATGTCCTCTATAACAACCAAAAAATATCGAAATAAACGAGGCTGTTATAGAGAGCTTTGACTGTATAGTCATAGACATGCAATAGAATAATAGATATGCTTTGTAAATTAAGGACACAATCCTACATAAACTATTTTATATATTTTTCGGGAGTCCATTACTGAAATGGTCACTCAACTATCCCAAATTATCTTCTAAAATTACTTTTCTTTCATTTGTAACAACAAAGTCACTGAACTATGCCTATTGCACTCAGAAGGTCACTCAACTAGATTTTCCAAAACTTTGGAGTGTCAAACACCTATTTTACCCTCTAAACTAGAGATCAGAAATTGTTNACTAATGTTGTCCTAAAATTGCCAAGTGGCTTCATTTTAACTTGCCACTTGACTTAACCACAATGCATACTACTCTCCTTTTAATATAATATAGATACTTACCTACGATCCGCTTCTTTTAGAAAAAACATTGCAGAATTTTTTCAACTGCAAACGCGACTACGTGGAACTTCTTCTTTTTTTTCTTTTTTTTTTCTTCAAGAAAATCCACAGACAACCAGGAAAATGAAAACGAAAATATGCATGAAAATCCGCAAATGCGTACTAGCATTAATTAGGCGAGTCTTACCCATATAAAAACGAAATGACTATGGAGGGTGGAACTCAACTATACAGATTCCATTACTCCAATGGGCACTCAACTATCCTAAATTATCATCTAAAGTCACTTCAACAAAGTCACTGAACTATGTCTATTGCATTCAAAAGGTCACTCAACTAGATTTTTCAAATTTTGGATTGCCAAATACCCATTATATTCTCTAAATTATAAACATTTATCTTCTTTTTATTTTTTTTAACTTTTTAATATTATGATTTTTTTCCTTTTTAATTTACATTATGGACTTACCTATAGAATAAATAGATATTATTTATAAATTAAAAAATAAAAAGTATTTAAGCATATATAATGTTGGAATAACAAAATAATGAGCATAGTAAAAAAAAAATTAGTTAGAATAATTTGTTAGTAATAATAATTTTAGTATTAGCAACAAAAATTTAAAAATTTATTCACACAATTCAGAATGAAAGAAAATGAGGTAGGGGTAAGGTCTGCATACACACTACCCTCCCCAGACCACATTTATGGAATCAAAGTGGGTTTGTTGTTGTTGTTGTTGTAGAATGAAAGAAAATAGAGGTCGTAAAATATATATTCCATGCACATAATATAAAAATAATTATTTAAATAACGGTATTTTTATAATATAAATTATATATTCTTGAAAATTATGCTCAATTATATTATATATATTCCATGCACGACTTGACATAACATATTTTACTCTATACAGATAGTCCCTATGCTTTCCGGTGACATAACTTTGTGTCGTCGGAAAGTTGGTAGAAACATAATAATACAATTGAGCATAATTTTCAAGAATATATAATGTATATTATAAAAATACCTTTATATATTTAATTATTTTTATATTACGTGCATGAGATATATATTTTACAACCTTTATTTTCTTTCGTTCTGAATTGTGTAAACAAATTTTTGAAATGTTGTTGTTAATACTAAAAAGTTTAAAAAGAAGATAAATGTTTATAATTTAGAGGGTGAAATAGGTATTTGGCAATCCAAAATTTGAAAAATCTAGTTGAGTGACCTTCTGAGTGCAATAGGCATAGTTCAATGACTATGTTGTTACAAACGAAAGAAAAAGTGACTTTAGGTGATAATTTGAGATAGTTGAGTGACCATTTGAGTAATTGACTCCAACTATATAGTATGATCTCTACTACTTATCACATACTTGTCCTTATTGGGCAACTCAGTGTACTAAGCTTTCGCTATGCGCGGGGTACGGAGAAGGGCCGGACCACAAGGGTCTGTTGTATGCGGTCTTACCCTGCATTTCTGCAAGAGACTGTTTCCACGGCTCGAACCCGTGACCTCCTGGTCACATGGCAATAACTTTACCAGTTACGCCAAGGCTCCCTTCATACTTGTCATTATTGATTTGTAAATCTTATGTAAATCAATACATCAGATTTATCCCTTGTTAAGGTGAGAGGTAAATTTTCAAGTAGAACTAAAAGCAAAAGAAAAGTAAGTTCTTTTAATGTAGGCTTATCTAGATAAAGGAAGATGCCTAAAGAAAGAATTAGTTCGAAAAACAAGATTCTTCTCTTGCAGTTTTGCCACAGACAGTATCCAATAACTTAATACTAGTTCAAACAAACCTACCAGTCAGCTGCATTTTAATTGAACAAGAAGAAACAAAAACTGGATTTATAGCATACATGTTGGTTTTTTAAAAGATGGGGCAGCAAAAAGATTAAAAGTATTGATTGAAAAAGTCTCTCAATAATCTTATTAAGCATACCAAGGCTTTAAATAGCCAATTAGGACATAATCTGCAGAAAAATTTGCATAAGAGGAATTTAAAAATCCCAAAATATCTCAACAAACCTAAAAAATCTATTAAAAAAAGTAAGTTTATCATAAAACTAAGTAACTTATTATGCTAAGAAAACAAAATTTCAACAATATAGTACTTTATACACAATTTAGAACTGGGCACTTGTACATACAAATGCATTACTTACACAACAGAAGAGCCTACAGCATTACATCCTTTAGCTGTAGCTGGGAACTTCCTTGAAATAAAGATTTTATTTTCTATTATTATTAGGAATATAAAGAAACATTAACAACAAAGAGATTTAATACTTTCAAATTGAATTATAGTTCTATATTGAGACACTGTTTGGAATTCCTTTGCCAGTTAGTCCTCCTTCACTTGTGGGGAAGAGCAAGGTATATGGAACTTTAACAGGACCCGACCTGTTCTTCCATTTCTCATCACCATTCATCTGCATAATCTGATCCTCGATATCACTCAGCTTCTTTCCAAACTTCTCAAAAGCTGAAAGTGGTTCTTGATCCTTTGTCCATTCAGGTGATTCCCTTTGCCCGAGGTAAAGTGTATCCGAAGCATGCCTTGACAAGATCTCTATGAGGGAAATTCCAAGCAGTGTCTGCAGCTGTGGAGTGATTGTTTTGAGGAATACTTTGTCCGGATTTGTCTTGAGCTCTTCATACTCAGGACTTCCTGGCTCTGGCATGAAATTTCGGCTTAATGTAGGACGATTAGGGAGATAACCAGCATAAGGATATTGCCCGAAATTGACTGCTGCATGAAGTGCTGAAGCTATCCATATTGTGATGGTGCAAGAGTCTATCAATTCTTGAACTGTCTGCATTTTAGGCCACCAAGGCTCGTCTTTCTTGTCACCATGTCCCTCTTCGCGGAGTTCCTTCCACCAGGCTTGGAGTTCAGTGTCTTTTTGTACCGCGTCATCTGATTTGTAATAGTAGTTGCAGTATTCAGTTACCCAACTTTTAATTGCTGACCAAATTTTCAACCCATCAACAGCATATGGATAGTCCTGAATCAGTAAGCGAATGCCATGTGGGGAGCTCGAGTCTTCAACAGCCACTCCTCTAAAATTGAGTAACATTATGGTCATGTTAGCCAGACAACACCACCAAAAATGTTATTTTAGTGATCAATTTATGTTATGTATTTAGTACAGTCTATAAGGATTTTGTGGGTTTTTTATATACCTTTTGATGAGATCGGTAGGAAGTGCTTGTTCAGGGAAAACCCAGTCTTTGTAAACTACTGCTGACATTTCCATGGAATATTTGGCTGGAAAAACTGTCAATTCTAGAAGTCCACCACCATTGATCAAGATCTGTCTTGCTAAAGCATTTATGTTCATCGTCTCACGGAAATGAGGGTGGAGAAGCTTATAAATAGGGTGAAGCGCGCTTAGTTGCCTATTTGCTGCAATCACGAATGGCTCAATCACTGCATGCGTATTCAACCTGAGAAGATAACAACAAATTATTCTGATTAGTATTATTTAACAATACATTTAGTTTGGTTATGGGTAAGTTGTGTTTTTACCCAACTTACCAGTGACTGATGAGTTGATGAACGCCCGAGTCATTCACTGCTGCGTAGGCTTTGGCCAACTGCCAGATAGAACCTTCAACACCTTGATCAGCTGGTGTATATACTTTACTAACAGCGCCAAATTGATCTCCGTTTGGATGTGGCAAGCTTAGTTCAATTGCTAATGGCTTCAAGGTTCCATTATCTTGCAAGAAGAGCAGAGTTCTTGAGGCATAGGTTTTTGTGTCTGTCGATGTGTTAATTCTCCTCAAGTATGGCATAAGGATATCATGATGGTTCAATATGAATAGTCTGTTAGTCTTGATTGCCTGTTAAATAATAGTACCAACTCTTGTCACTATAGTCTACTCAGAAAACTTGATTGAAGAATGTAGCTAGTATCAAAATAAATGTAGTAATTACCTCATCAATTGTTAGTCCATCCAACTTATCCTCTATCTGCTCTCTGGTAATTGTACTGTTTTGGTTGCCATATGTTTTAGGATTCAGCTTGCTTTTCGGAGGGAATTCCTGCAGATATTACATAAGCCAACATCTTCAAAATGCGCAAAGAATCACCAAAACAGAAATAAACTTCAGCATGTTATTGATATCCTGAAAGAGTAGCAATTCAGATGAATTAAAGCTTACTTGGAGTCTACTGATTATGACAGGATTGACTCCCGCCAACATTTCTCTCCCAAATTCTTCATCCGTCCTCCAGGCAGTTTTATCCTCTACACCAACAATAGTTAGATTACCAAAAGGCGAGGCGCGAGAAATAATACTTTGAAAATGTTTTTGATCATATAGAAATTTACCTTGAATAACCTGAGGAGTTGGGTACTTAAATAGGCCTTCGCCATCACTTCGAAGGAGTTCTTTTAGTATCTCTAAAGGAATACTATCAGTAATGGCTTTCAACAAAGGGCCTTGAGGTAACTTGATTCCTCCTTCGTAGAGTTTAAGTACATCCTCAAAACTATCAAACTCATTAGGCGTGCTATCGAACAAAGCCTTAAACTCAGGGAGAAGCAACTGCACAATGGATTTCAAAGCAAATGTCAAGAAGTCTGACAACTTTATATGACCAAATCGCTCGTCCCTTGGCACATATATATCTAAGCTCATAAGCAGTGGAATCCTGCTCTCGGAATTAGGATCTGCATAGAGTAAATAGCAAATGTCAATTATATATAACAGTAAAAGTTGAGACTATTATACTTGTCGAATTACACAAATGAAATGTCTTAACCTGTTTTGGTTGGTTCGCGGCCTGTCCTGCCTCTACGAGGATACGGGTACTCAGAAGATCCTCCTAAGACAGGCCTGGAAAGCTCTTTGCCTTTGTCTGGATCACCCAAGTCATTGTAATAAGCATAGTCATAAACTCTATCCCATTCCTCAAGCTTTCCAGTTCCATCTCCTCTTAAAGTTACTAGTTCATTTTCTCTGCATTTTCGCAATGGCTCTGGTGTTTCACTTGGGAGATAGGCCTGAATCAATCATTAAAACAATGCAAAGTAAGTTATTAAACACTTAAAAGGTGTTGCTACTTGTTACATTGTTAATGAATGAATTAGTTGTACCTGATTCGCGAAGAAGATGCGATCTGACTTATATTTATTAGCAGGATAAACCCAAGAATTGCAGACAAAATGAACTTTGCCATGATTAGGAACATCTTCAAGGGTGAGTGACTTGAGAAAGAACTCACTAAAATGCAAGTTCTTGATGATGAATGCTCCTGGAACTCCAAATTCCTCATCATCCCAATCAAATGTGACTCTAAATGCTGATTCTCCTGCTGCTATTGGGGTGTTGTTTGTAAGCCAATTCTCCAAGTATGCTGCTTTGCTACGTTTCCCTTGTAAACCATTTGCTATAAATAAATCGAATTCAGAAACAGATTAGTTCTACTTTTAGGAGTGATATAAAGAAGGGATTGTTACACAAATAGCCGGTCAAATTCACTATTTACTTTTTTTAGTCGGCAAAGCCATGTTGGCTCGCCGAAAAATTATACTATATATGTATAAGGTAAATTATTACTTGTTATTGATTAAAAATAGACTTTGAACACCTTTGCATAGTCCACTGGCAAAGGGTATTGACGCTAGTCGGTATACATAAATTATTCATGAATTATACACATATTATACATGCATTATATAATGAAGTAGTAATAATTAACTTACAATCTAGGTTAGGCTTAAGAAATGATATTAACAAGAATATATGCTAACCGAAATCACAATAACGGGAAGGATAGAGCTAGAGGTGTCAAATGGGGGGGGGGGGGGTGTTTGGACTTATTTTGGACGGGTCAAAATGGGCTGAGTCATACTAAATAACTTGGATTGAGATGGACTGGGTTAAGTTAGGCTAAAATTTGCGTCATAGCCCAACCCGCCTAACTCTTACCAAACTTTAATTAATGTATTATCTTTTTTATAATTGTTTAATTATCAAATAAGACTTTTGTTCTCTTGTTATGGTCGTATATAACATATCAAACAAAAATATATTTTTGAAATATTTTAGCAAAGTTACTCATGGATCAATTTGGGTTAAAAATCAATCCAACTTTTGATGGGTTGAAATGGGTTGCATCAAGATGGACTGTATTCAATAAATGGGTGGGTCAATGACCAATCAAATCTTGGACGAATTAGACGGGTCAAATGAGTTTGGGCTCAAGTTGCCCCCAGTCATTGAACATATAAAAACCAAGAAATAAAATATAATACCTCATCCGAAGATCCCTACGGACTGAAATGCTGAACAAATAAATAATAGTCCTAACTAGAATAATTTAATACTTTACAACTCTAGTCTGAGATTTGGTAGGCTGCCTTTTTTCATATCTTAAAAAATAATAAACTAATAAATTCTGAATAAAAAAGACAATTACAGAGAACTTTACTCTCTTGGTGGTTCATATTTGGTCGTTACGTGAAACTCTAAATTGGTAAATCTAGGAGATAATTTTATCTATGGTCATTAAACTTTTGTGTTTGTTACTCAAAAGTTATTTTTCTTTTTTTTGTTACGTAAAAATCATTCAACTTTGTGTTCATTACACAAAAGTCACTTTTCTTTCTTTTGTTACACAAAAATCATTTTACTTTGCTCTACTTATCACAAAAGTCACATTTTTACTTGAAAAGTCTATTATGCCCTTGATATTATATAAACCTTCATATTTATGTAATACCTTCTATATTATATACTATATAATATATTTTTAACTATTGATTTTATTTATAAATAAAATAACTTAATATTATTTTATTTTTTATTTTTCTAATATATTCGTATATTTAATTTTTTCTTAACTTTAATTTTCAAGATATAACTTTGCCCCCAGAAAATTAAGCATATACCTAATTATTTATACTGACATGAGATTCAAATATATATGTACATAAACACACATAAAAATCCAAGAAATTTTAAAGAACCACTAACATTAATGTCCATTTCAAACTCACTTACGGCAGTCGGCAGCAATGGAGTCAGGATTTAAAGCGTATGAGTTCGGTATTTTAGATTAATATATTGTCATATTAAATGAATTGCCTAAGACAAGTATAAAGTTTGAACTAAAACTACTGATTCAGTCATACCCGTAATCTGTACTCTAGCATCACTCCTGACTAACGGTATAAATAGAGAATGTTCCAGGTGTGTGATCAGTAATTTACCAGTGATAAATTTTTTCTTGAAGATACGTTCATTAGACTGTATGGTCGAGTTAAGGCCACGTTAATTCTATTTGACAACACTTTACCAGATGTTTAATTCCTGTACACATTTCTGGGAAAAGAATACTACAAATGAAACTGTCCCTTTTCTCCACAGTTGAAAGTTCAACAAAAAAAAAAGACAGAGACTTTAAGACTCGTAACTCATCTAGCTTAATTTGTACGGGCTTATAGGTTGGTGGGGGTCTTCATCACCTTTAAATTAAATAACTTGCTTCTATTTCTGGTTGAGAAATTATGTTTCTCAATTAATAGGGTTTCTGTACATATGTATGTTTGGATTCTCCACTAAGTTTTGATTTGTGTAAAAGAATTTCAAATGAAAAAAAGAAAAGAACTTGAAATGACTTCTTCAAATTAAAAATAAGAAGAAAAAATAATGATTTGGTTGGATTAAAGAGTTTGAATTGATGACTTACTCCTTTAGGTTGATTTTAGACATTAGAATTTATTTTATAGAAACAGTCTATGTGATATTTAATAATTGCACAAAATACTTTTCGTGATCAAAGAAAAGTTAAACAGCAAAAATATATTGTAATAGTTCAAATCTTTCAACTATGATAATTTTGTATTTTGAATTAATCAATAAAAATCAATATTTAGCCAAAAAAACAAAAAGAAAACCATGATAATTTTTCAAAAAACTAAGAAGATATGTTGATGCAAAAGCAACAACTCGATAACTTGGGTGGGAAGAAGCCAGTAGCTTTTGCTTAGATTTTATATTTGTATTAAAAATTTATTAAATATATATAAATATTTAATTGTAAACCCGATAATTAAGAGAAGCTATAATTCAATAATAAATTCAGAACTCATAAACTTCAAATCTGAGTTCCGCTTTTACTCACATGATATATCTTTTTGGGTAACCTCACTCCGCCTCCTCCACAAATAGAAAAATGACATCGAAATGGAAAAAGGGGCTCTTGAAAACTTAGTTCAACTACTTTCATTATGTATAACCTAAAACTAAAACAGCATAAATTCAGCACGTACCAAATTCAACAGGCAAACCTTTCTGGAACTTTTTTTTTAATAGTAATTTATACTCTTTTCACCCTAATTTTACTCTAAGTAAACTTTCATTTTAGACTATCATTTGTATCATAGACAGACACGCACCAAATTCAAATGCATATAAATCCGAACCAACGTCCTTTGGTACCAATAATAAATTGTGTCTTCAAGTAATCACCCTAGAAGACTAGACTAGGGAGCACTAGGGGTGTTCACGGTTCGGTTTGGTCGGTTTTTGATTAAAACCAAAATCAAATCAATTTAATTGGTTTTTAAAATTTTAAAACCAAAACCAACCAAATTAAATACAAACTATCGGTTTGATTGTTGTTGGTTTGGTTCGGTTTGGTTCGGTTTTTCGGTTCTTAGTAAGCTAATGATAAGTCGATAATATTAAAACAACGCTAGACAACAATCTGAAAATAATTTGCCAAATTTATGCTTTTTATATATTTCTTTGAGAACTGAAAGTTTATTTACATCTTTATATGAAAAGAATGAACAAAAAACAAACTAAAAGTTTGCTTTCTCAAGCTTTAGCCATTGTTGTCTTGCAATTTGAATGTGCTTTCTTTACTCTTGTGGTGGTCTTTTTGTAACTCTTCTTTTAGGCAAAAGTATGTGCGGAGGTTAGAGAATTAGAGTTTATTAATGAAAAGAAAATTGGTCGAATCCTATTGTTTTGGGCTTAGGCAATCTTTTAAGATATAACAGGATAAACCAAAATTCAAAATAACAATTAAAATTATTAACAAAAAGATATTATATTGCATATAAATAATTATTAAATTTTGTATATAATTAATCGGTTTGGTTCGGTTTATTTTTCGGTTTTTTAAAATAGAACCAAAACCAAACCAAATATTATCGGTTTTTAAAATTTAAAACCAAAACCAATCCAAATCAAAAAAAATATCGGTTTACTTAATCGGTTTGGTTCGGTTTTCGGTTTGGATCGGTTTTCCGTCAAACCGTGAACACCCCTAGAGAGCACCATCGATTAGAAAAAAAGTAAATAATAAATATGATCCACTATTTATGTAAAGATCCTAATACTTATTGAAGATATTAAAATTAACCGTTAGGCCTATTTAAACCGTAGGTTTTTGAAACAAAAAAAAATAGCTCAATAAAGTAATCCATAATATTACTTTTTGTTTGGCATACCTTTAATTGGAGTACTTTATTGATAGTCCCTAAAGTAGGTACTGCTTCAAAAGTTAATACCCATTGAAAAATATACTTTATGATCACACGAGAACCAAATCTAAATTAGATATGTCCCAGGGCATCAATTTATTCTTTTGAGAATAATCTCTCGGGTAAAGTTAAATCATGTGACCAGGAGGTCATGAGTTCGAGCCGTGGAAACAGATTCTTGTAGAAATGCAGGGTAAGGCTGCGTATAATGGACCCTTGTGGTCCGGGCCTTCCCTGCAGTGGCGAAACCATAAATTTCCTCAACGTGTTCAAACTTGAAAGAAGTAAAAAGGAATCCCGACAAAGGGTGTTCCATATATGGTATGTATCTCTAAAACCTGATATTTTACCTATATACACAGTATAATTTTCTGACAAAGGGTGGTAAATTGACCATCCTTACTATAGTGTACCTTCGGACTCTGCGCATAGCGGAAGCTTAATGCACGGGCTACCCTTTCGAATAATCTCTCAGGTCTCGTGTGATCATAAGTATAAGTGACCTTAATTAGAGGCTGCTGAATTTGTGATTTTTTTTTTCTTTAAAATATCCAATATTTGAAGTGTTGCATTAATTTTGATTATTCGCTCTAAATAAACTCACTAATGGAGTTAATCCTTCTAGTGAAATATTCTTTATTACCATGCTCGAACGAAAATCTTTGGTTAATATGCATGGGAGGATACAATCATCCTGTCATATTATTCATGGCGAAGTTATGAATATTATACGTCTCCTTTATTTGATTAAAACTTTGGAATAAAAAAGCATATAATAAAATGAAGTACTTACCAGGATCAACATGAACAGAACTGATCAACTCGAGAGAGACCCTCCGACCAAGGAACTCAAGAACTCCATCAAGAACTGAGGCATTAATATCAGTAAAATCCAATACATTTTTCTTCATCAAAACCACTGTTCCTTTGACTTTTTTTCCATCATCTTTCCCTGTAATTGCATCCACAATCTTCCCCAGAAACATGATTAACGACTATTTCATAACTTTCTCAAACAAAAGAAAAGAGAACTTAGATGAGTTTGTGTTGTAAAGTTTCTAACTGAGATGTCTGATATTTATAGCAAGAACTGGTAGATGAGAATAAGGAAACAAAAAAGAAAAAAGAAAAAGACAAAAGCCATATCTATATTCCAACTTTCCTGTCTAGCTGTCCGTCCCTATTGGTCTTTATTATCCTTTTAAAAAAAGATTTATTTATAGCACATGTGGGTAGCAACGTATTCAATTTTCCCCTTCTATTGTCAAATGCCTTCAAAAAGTTTGGCCAATTCTTCATTTTTCATTCTTCTTCTTCCTTTTCTTTTTGCCTTCGCGCTAAGTTTATACGATAAAAATTTATCTGTATCGGGTATTTATATTTAGTAGATGCATAACATATGTTGTAAATAAAATTACTTACTTAATTATAGTTAATTAGGCAAAATACCTTAAAACCCCCCTAAATTTGACACGGATTATTAGTTACAGCCTTAAACTATTCGTGGTCTTAATTACTCCCCTCAACTTGGCCTTTTGAGAGCCATTACCCCCTGGACGCTAATGTGGCAAAGAGTGTGGCTATAATTTTTTATATAGCTCTAAATTATGGTGCAATGACTATTTATTTCTTCTTTTGATGCAATGTCTATTCGTGGTGTTTTTATTTCTTCTTTTGATACAATGACTATTTATTTCAATTGTGTGTTTTTACTGTTTCAAGTAAAATCTGTAAAAAAAATATATTTTTAGAGCACCATAATTTAGAGCAATATAAAAATTATAGCCAAAATAATTAATTTCAAACTATGTATTTTTTATAACATTTTAGATACCTTGACTATTTCTTTCAATTGTATAAATCTTTATTTTCAGGTCAAATTCAAAAAAAAATTAACTAAAACTTTATTATTTTTAGCCAAATAAACAAATTTAGCCTAAATAATGTAGTTCTATCCAAGTTTTATTATTAATTGTAATCGAACAAAATTATCTAAAAGAGTAACATACTTAAAAGGGTAAAAATATATTTTATTTTTCAAAAAAAATGCCACATATACAGGAAAACTCCACGTGGCAGGCGAGTGCACCCAGACTCTTTGCCACATCAGCATCCAGGGGGTAACGACTCTCAAAAGGCCAAGTTGAGGTGGTTAATTAAGATCACAAATAATTTAAGGCTGTAATTAATAATCCATGTCAAGTTTAGGGGAGTTTTAAGGTATTTTGCCTAGTTAATTAATATACATTCTCATCTTATTAACTCGCTTAACCATAATAATTTAATATGATTTGGTATAAATACTTAGGTGGATAAAATTTTACCGTAATTAATGTCTACACACATTTATTTACGTGGACAATTTTAGGGCCCGAGTGAATTTAATTCTTTTAACTTTCTAAAAATCCACACGTCAATCTTAGTTGTAGTGGTTCTGAAAATACTTATTCATTATCTGTTATTCATGTTTATCTAATTTCTATACTAAAATAAGTTGTTTAATATATGGAACATCCGTAAAAAATATACAAGCTTTTCCTCAAAAATATTTTTCCAAAAAAAAAAAAAAAAAA